GAGAATTATTTTTAACTTTGTATTGAAATTTTAACTTGTTTATTGTGCTGCCAGTGCTGCTCCATATTTATGATCTCAGCTGTGGCAGAGCTGAAATTTGGGTGATTTTTGTAACTCTTTGGCACATCTGATTTTTCCAGGAGGCTCCACCTTGCTATGAGCAGGCGGGATGGATCCAGAAGAGCAGGATTTGCTGGGGGATTACAGGTACAGGAATTATTGTTCAGCCATTGAGAAAGCTTTGAGGAACTTTGAATCATCCAGCGAATGGGCAGACCTGATCTCTTCCCTTGGCAAGCTCAACAAGGTACAGTGGGAGGGGAAATTTTATTATTTCTTTGTGATATTTGTGTTGTTATAAACTTTTCTGGCGTTTCCAGCACTTGAAAAAATTAAAAATTCACTCGAGAAAAATAATGGAAAGAGCTAAGTTGGTATTTTTTCATATAAATGTGAGAAATTCTGGTGAATTGCTCATGTTTATATAAAAATAAATGTGAGAAATTTATATGAAAAAAGTGAGCAATTCTGGTGAAAGAGCTTTCCTGCAAATGGTATTTGCTGTCTTCATGTTGCTTAGTTAATTTAACTTCATTTAGTTAATTTAATTCTAATTAATTCAAATTTTGCATCAAAAATTTAATTCTAATTAAATGAAATTATTTTAAAATAATAAAATTAATTAATAATATAATAATTATATATAATATATATTATATATATTATATATAATAATATATATTATACATATTATTTTTTATATATTTTTATATATTTTTAATATAAATTTTTTTATATATAAAATTTATATAAAATTTTTTATATAAAATTTTATATATATTTTTATATATTTTAATACAATTTTTATATATTTTTATATAATTTTTATATATTTTTATATATATAGTATATATAATATATATATAATAATATATATTATATAATAATATAATAATGATAATAATAATATAAAATTAATTCTAATAAATTAAATTCATAAGAATTTAATTAATTCAATTTTTGCATCACTCTAGAGCAGCTAAAAAGCTTTTCTAGAAAAGAATTAATGACAAGTTTTAGAATGTTTTCTGAGTCAAAGCTTTTATTTAAAGGTCACAAGACCCTTAAGTTGTGAGATTTTTAAGGAGTTATTGACTAATAAAACACTGTTAATAAGGATATTTATGTTTTTGACTCAGTCTTTAAATATTTTGTTTTATGGACTCATGCTACAGTGTAAGCTGTAGCTAATTATTCTTAGCTAATTATGTTGTGACACAAACCTGCAGTGCTGCATTTTAATTTCTCTGTTTACCTTTCCAGCTATTTTTAATTTTTTTATATCTTAAACTTTAAAACTTCAAACTTTCTTTTACTTAGCTTAACTTTTCTCTGCTNCAGTGTCACCAAATCAGAGCAGGTGACATTTGCCAGTGTCACCAATCCGGTCCCTGGGTCAGAGCAGGTGACATTTGCCAGTGTCACCAAATCAGGGCAGGTGACATTTGCCAGTGTCACCAGGCCGGTCCCCAATCAGAGCAGGTGACATTTGCCAGTGTCACCAAGCCCAGAGCAGGTGACATTTGCCAGTGTCACCAATCCGGTCCCAAGTCAGAGCAGGTGACATTTGCCATTGTCCCCAAGTCAGAGCAGGTGACATTTGCCAGTGTCACCAGGCAGGTCCCTGGTTCAGAGCAGGTGACATTTGCCAGTGTCACCAAGCCCAGAGCAGGTGACATTTGCCAGTGTCACCAGGCCCAGAGCAGGTGACATCTGCCAGTGTCACCAAGCCCATAGCAGGTGACATTTGCCAGTGTCACCAAGCCCAGAGCAGGTGACATTTGCCAGTGTCACCAAGCAGGTCCCAAATCAGAGCAGGTGACATTTGCCAGTGTCCCCAAATCAGGGCAGGTGACATTTGCCAGTGTCACCAAGAGGGTCCCAGGCTCAGAGCAGGTGACATTTGCCAGTGTCACCAAGCAGGTCCCCAAATCAGGGCAGGTGACATTTGCCAGTGTCACCAAGTCAGAGCAGGTGACATTTGCCAGTGTCACCAAATCAGAGCAGGTGACATTTGCCAGTGTCACCAGGCAGGTCCCCAAATCAGGGCAGGTGACATTTGCCAGTGTCACCAAGTCAGAGCAGGTGACATTTGCCAGTGTCACCAGGCAGGTCCCAGAGTCAGAGCAGGTGACATTTGCCAGTGTCACCAAGTCAGAGCAGGTGACATTTGCCAGTGTCACCCAGCCCGTCACCAATCAGAGCAGGTGACATTTGCCAGTGTCACCAAGCAGGTCCCTGGGTCAGAGCAGGTGACATTTGCCAGTGTCACCAAGCCCAGAGCAGGTGACATTTGCCGGTGTCACCAAGAAGATCCCCAAGTCAGAGCAGGTGACATTTGCCAGTGTCACCAAGCTGGTCCCAAGTCAGGGCAGGTGACATTTGCCAGTGTCACCAAGAGGGTCCCAGGCTCAGAGCAGGTGACATTTGCCAGTGTCACCAAGCAGGTCCCCAAGGCAGAGCAGGTGACATTTGCCAGTGTCACCAAGCCCAGAGCAGGGGACATTTGCCAGTGTCACCAAGCCGGTCCCCAAATCAGGGCAGGTGGCATTTGCCAGTGTCACCAAGCAGGTCCCCAATCTGAGCAGGTGACATTTGCCAGTGTCACCAGGCCAGTCCCCAAATCAGGGCAGGTGACATTTGTCAGTGTCACCAGGCAGGTCCCCAATCAGAGCAGGTGACATTTGCCAGTGTCACCAAGCCCAGAGCAGGTGACATTTGCCAGTGTCACCAGGCAGGTCCCAAATCAGAGCAAGTGACATTTGCCAGTGTCACCAAGCCAGTCCCCAGTCAGAGCAGGTGACATTTGCCAGTGTCACCAAGCCCAGAGCAGGTGACATTTGCCAGTGTCACCAAGCAGGTCCCCCAATCAGAGCAAGTGACATTTGCCAGTGTCCCCAAATCAGAGCAGGTGACATTTGCCAGTGTCACCAAGCCGGTCCCTGGTTCAGAGCAGGTGACATTTGCCAGTGTCACCAAGCCCAGAGCAGGGGACATTTGCCAGTGTCACCAAGCCGGTCCCCAAGTCAGGGCAGGTGACATTTGCCAGTGTCACCAAGTCAGAGCAGGTGACATTTGCCAGTGTCACCAAATCAGAGCAGGGGACATTTGCCAGTGTCACCAGGCAGGTCTCCAATCAGAGCAGGTGACATTTGCCAGTGTCCCCAAGTCAGAGCAGGTGACATTTGCCAGTGTCACCAAGCCCAGAGCAGGTGACATTTGCCAGTGTCACCAGACAGGTCCCTGGGTCAGAGCAGGTGACATTTGCCAGTGTCACCAAGCCCAGAGCAGGTGACATTTGCCAGTGTCACCAATCCGGTCCCAGAGTCAGAGCAGGTGACATTTGCCAGTGTCACGGAGTCAGTGCAGGTGACATTTGCCGGTGTCACCAAGAAGATCCCCAAGTCAGAGCAGGTGACATTTGCCAGTGTCACCAGGCCGGTCCCCAAATCAGAGCAGGTGACATTTGCCAGTGTCACCAAATCAGAGCAGGTGACATTTGCCAGTGTCACCGGGCCGGTCCCCAGCTCTGCCACCCAAGGTAAAATAGTGACACCACAGCTTTCTCTTCTTTTATTCTAATTTTGAAATTAATCCTGTGCCCCCATTATTAATTAATTAATTAATTAATTAATTAATTAATTAATACAACTGGTTTTTTTTTCCTCTCGTGGAGAAGTCTCCATAACATTAACAAGAATATCTTCCCTTCCTAACTAAACTAAATAAAGACTATTTTAAAAGTGGTAAACTAACTGGAAATTTTAAATTTGGTTTCTTTACGTTATCAGTGCAAAGAGAAAGATTGTAGGAGAAAAATTAATATTCTAAAAGGTTTCATTCTTATTACTTTTCTTGCCTTTAGTTACTTTTAGTAAAATTTTCTTTATATCCTTTTAAAGTTTTCAACTTGCTTTATCTTTGTCCTAATCCTATCTTCCTACCTCGCAACAAAAAATAAGAACTAATTGTTTATTATTATAAGATATATTGTATGTATTATTATACAATATTATAATTATTATATTGTTTATTATTATTTATAATTATAACATTATTATAATTATATAATAAAAATAATGGCTAATTAACCAACACCAAAACACACCTCACTCTTTAATACCATAAACCAAAAAATCTTAAAATTAAAGGAATCTTAAATTAACAAACCAAAACCACTACACAAAATTCTGATTTCCACCCAGTTTCAAACTAAAACCACCACACTGGTTGTCACAATTTCCCTGAAATTCAGTGTATGAATGTATCATTTCCTTCAAATCCTCAGGAAATGTTGAAAGCAAAGCTGAGGTGCCAATATTGCTGATGCTCTGTAGAATAAACAGTGAATATTTCAATTTTCTGCCTGGTTAATATTTAAATATTGGAATATTAAGATGGTATCTGTTCAGTCTGAACGCTGAGAGGGAAAATATTGACTGTTAGAATCCAAGAATACAAGAAACTCTCAGAATTTTGAGCCTGTAAACCAAAACTTAGAATTAAACACAAGATTTAATCTGAAACCTTGGAAAAGGCTTCAAAACTTGGGTGCTAAAAGTGAAAATGGAAATTTATAATATAGAACAAATTTATAATATAGAACAAAATATGTATCTTTTGTTCTATATAGATAGATAGATAGATAGATANTAAAATGTTGTGTTTTCCTTTTCCAGATAAAGTCTTTGTGTGTGTCAGTGCTGGATTCCAATGTCCTGGTGCAGAGGAACACTCTGGAAGCAATCCTCTTCTTTTTCCCATTTTATACAGCTTTGGTAAGAGAATTATTTTGGGATTTTTCCATGGAAGGTCTGTTCTGTGCAAGCAGCCCAGTTCCCACCTCTGTTATTGCCAAATGGCTGAATTTTGAACCTTCAAAATCCCTGAAGATCTCTCCCAACCTGGTCATTCTGTGATCCTGTGAATTCTTGCCATTTTTACCACACAAACCATTTTCCTGTTGATGCTTTGTTCCCTTTTCCCCAAACCGTTTTTATTCCCAGTACAAAACCCAGCCCATCACCAGTTTGACTCCTTTCAGTGCTCACCAACTGCTGAAAAATCTTTCTTTTTCCACGCCAGGACTGCAAGGAAAGCACCATCCTGCTCAGAAGGGCTGATCTGGTTTATATCCTGTCCGCAGCCACTCAGACCCTGCTGAGGAGAGACATGTCCCTCAACAGGAGATTGTATGCCTGGCTGCTAGGTACTGTGCCAAATCCAGAGATTTTTCCATATTCTGCATGCTTTGGAGCAAAAATAAATCATTGTTTAAAATTTAAATACACTTCTGTAGCTGTTAATGAATTATGATAAAGTGGTGTTTATTTGCCGTTTATTAAGTGCGTTAATACAATTAAATATTTGGTGAACAGGGCTTCTCTTCAGAGGTGAATTTATTTCTCTCTGAATCCCAAGGTATCTGATAAATTCTGGTTCCATCCTCAGCTTGTTCAGTGGGCTAAAAGTACTAAAAGTTACTATTTTAATCTTATTTTTCTGGAAGAAATAGTGATTCCCACAGTATTTGGCCTTGGTTTTGATTTATGTGTTGTGCTCAACATCTGGATGCCCTCAAACTGGGACCTGTGGGCTGTTGAAATGCCAAAGATTAAAAATGGAATGTAAATTCAATATAAACCCCTGAGTGCTCTGTGCTGCTCTCTGAGCTCCTCCTGCCTGTGTTTTCTTGTAGGTTCTGATATTAAAGGTGGCACTTTTGCTCCAGACTCCACCACTTCTGAAGACCATGCTGTTTATTTCTTTGGAAAATACTCTAAAGATCTCTTGGTTGAGGTTGGTGTTCATTTTATACAGATATATTCCAGATAAATTCATGATCCTTGCAATTTTAGCTCAAACTGTGTCCAGAATTATTCTCAATTTTTGGTTTGTCCTTCCCTCTCTGTCCCTGTGGTTACATTTCCATTTGTGCTGTTTTTATCCCAATATTGGATTATTAATGGAATTTAAGGAAACCAAAGGGAAGCATCTTGGCTGAATTACCTGAATTATTTACAATAATTTTAAACTACCTGAATTATTTAAAAATGTTTCTCTGGCTAAGATCAACCTTTGAGTAGAGATGATGGGAAGTTGGAATTGATTTGTTTACCCTGGATGGAAAATTAGAGTTCATTTGTAATCAGTCCTAAACAAAATCAAATTTAGCAACACTTCAGCCCTTATTAAGATGGCAATCTGCCTCTGATGGATAACATTGTGATAACATTGTGATGTTTTCCCTTTCCTAGAGTTTGATTGTGATTCTGCATCAGAAATTCCCAGAGGCTGACCCAGAGGAGCAGCACCAGGCTTATCTGAAACCCTTCCGGATCCTTATCAGCCTCCTGGACAAGCCTGAAATAGGTGAAGTGTTCATCCCAAACCTGAGCAGGATTTAATAAAACCCTGCCCAACCCTAATCCTGTGGGTGTGGGAGTGTGCAGGAGGCTGTTCCTTGCCTTGGAACAAATTCCCAGGTTTGGGAATTCCCACAGAGCCCTGCAGAGCATGGATGGATGCCAGGGAGGGAAATGCAAATCTGTGCTCTCCTGTAGGGTCAGCACAGCCCAGCCTGGGGGTTCTGCCAACCCCAACCCTACAGGCTGGGACAGAGAGTCCTGAGAGCTGCTCAGGCTGGAAAGTCCCTGGGGGTGCTGTGACAGGGCTGGACACAAACCCAGGGGGGCCCAGGGCAGCTGGGCTGGGTGGGGAATTGTGTGTGCAGCAGGAGCAGGGCAGGGATTGTGTGGTGGTCACACATCCTCTGAACACAGATAGACATGGTTTTCTGCCAGGATTTTCCTGAGAAGCTGTGAGAAAGTTCAGAGAAAAGAATGAGAAACAATTCTTATCTCCATTTGCTACACCTGTTGTTGTGTACGTGTAGAACGTGTTGTGGAGATTATTTACCAAAGAGTGATTTCTTAATTAGACACTGGATGGTGTTTAGAGGGATTGGCCAGTCAGGTCAGAGCTGTGTCAGACTGTCAGTAAGGGTTATAAACTTCTTAGTGAGATAGTGTAGTATAGTATAATACAGTACAGTATTATAATATAATATAGCTTAATGAAACAATTGATCGGCCTTCTGCAGTCATAGAGTCAATACTAATTATTCTCCATTCAGGGGACCATGACCACAATAGGATTGTCCCTCTGTGCTGGGGTCCCTCGAGCGCTGGGCCCAGTTCTGCTCCTGCAGGAGAGCCCTGGAGGGGCTGGAGCGTGTGCAGGGCAGGGAACGGAGCTGGAAAGGGGCTGCAGAATCCCTGAGGGGCTGGAAGGGGCTGCAGAATCCATGAGGGGCTGGAAGGGGCTGGAGAATCCCTGAGGAGCTGGAAGGGGCTGCAGAATCCCTGAGGGAGCTTGGAAAGGCCTGCAGAATCCCTGAGGAGCTGGAAGGGGCTGCAGAATCCCTGAGGAGCTGGGAAGGGGCTGCAGAATCCCTGAGGAGCTGGGAAGGGGCTGGGGCTGGAGCAAAGGAGGCTCAGGGGCCCTCGTGGCTCTGCACAAGGCCCTGCCAGGAGGGGCAGGGAAAGGAGGAGAGGAAATGGCCTCAGATGGCACCAGGGCAGGCTCAGGTTGGAGATTGGCACAGAAAATTTCCCTGGCAGAGTGGTCAGGCCTTGGGCTGAGCTGCCCAGGGAGCTTTGGAGTCCCTGAATTGTCCCAGAGCAGTCTGGATGTGGCCTTGGGGACAGGGATTGGGGTGGTGGCACTGGGTGATCCTTAAGGGCTCTCCCAACCTTGATAATTCTGGGGTTCTGAGCCTTGAGCTGGCATCTGAGGGCACTTTAAAGCAGCACTTCCACCCCTGTGTCAGTATTGAGCTCCATTTGTCCCTTGGGTGGATCTGTCCTTCCCTCTCTGTCTGTCCGTGCAGCACCAGCAGGATCAGGCTCTGCTCTTTCTTATTTCAAGGGCAAATTCACTTTCCTGCACTAAAGAATCAAACCAAAGTGACTTGAAAAATTTTTAAAAATATTTTGGGTGGGGAGTGACGTTGCCAAAGAGGTTGTTTCTGTTATGAATGTATTGATTAATTTAATTTAGAAAATAAATGAGAGACGTTGCCTTGCTGGATATGTTGCTTGGCTGCCTGACAATCTGCATTAATCCAAAGTACAAATAAAGGGATCATAAATCCCTTTTAAACCAGGGATATTCAGCTAAACTGCATTATCCACTTTAATCTTCCCAGTCAGAACATAAAGTTTGACTCCTTGAGCCTTAAGCCATTAAGACTTTCTTTAGAAATGGATTTAACAATGTAAAAATTATTTAAACTTATCAAAACAAACATAGCAAGCTTTGACCTTTTCTGCTATTCTTAGTCACTTAAACTTTTATATTTTCATTTTTAAAAGCACTCATTGCAATGTTTTATACAGTACTTTTATTTTTTTTTTCATTATTCCAGGTTTAGGGCACTGAAATTATTATTTCTTCCCCTCCTCTTTGGACAATTCCTGGATTTTTTTTTTTCCCTTTCCTTGCAGGGCCACAGGTTGTTGGGGATCTGTTCCTGGAAGTTCTTAGAGCTTTTTATTCCTACTGCAAAGACACCCTGGGTTCTGATCTCAAACTCAGCTACAACCAAAGTGGCAACACCCTGGCAAGGTATGACAGATTTCCAGCTCTGAGCTGAAACTGCATCATTTTTTTAAAGTTTACTGGTTAAAATTAAGGAGTTTAACGAAGTTTTGGGTGGTAACAAAGTGATTTTCTGGCCAGAGGACGAAATTTTTTCTCTGGCTTTCCCTTTTCTCTACCACAATGGATTTCTCTTGGATTAGCAGAGGGAAAATGAAGTTTTGCTGCATGTGATGGGTGTGGAGTGACCACAGTGACATCAGGCTGCTGGCAGAGCTCAGCCTTGTGACTCCCATCATCTGAAAGGTGCTCCAGCTCCACAATGATTTAGCCTTTGATTTNAAAACTCCCCATAAATAAATGATCACAATTTACCACTGGCCTGCTTTTTTTTTGTAATTATCTCCTTTTCTATCTCTAAATATGCAGAGAGGGTGTGGGCAAATAGAAGCCAAGCAATATAAATAGAAAATTTCAAAGTCCAGCTTTCCAGAAATCTTCGCATTTAAGGAAGGAATCATTAACTCTTGTGGATTTTAATGTTGAAATAATATTATTCGTGTGCCACATGAGTAAAAGGCCTTAAAAATAACAGGTATCAAAAAAGCAACTCCATAAATATGTGAAATAATGGTTGATTTTTGGATTCTGGTTTTTATCATGGATTAAATGAGCTCGGCTGTGGGGAGAGGAGGAGGGGATGGATTTTCTGTTTGCTGTTGTTGTAAAATCCCAACCTTGTTTTTTCTTCTTGGGTAAATTTATTGATGTTGTTGTATAAATTTCCTGCCATGGGATTCCATAGGATAAAACCACGGGATTCCATAGGATAAACCCATGGCATTCCATAGGATAAAACCATGGGATTCCATAGGGTACAACCATGGGATTTCATAGGGTACAACCATGGGATTTCATAGGATAAAACCACGGGATTCCATAGGATAAAACCATGGGATTCCATGGGATAAAACCGTGGGATTCCATAGGATAAAACCGCGGGATTCCACAGGATAAAACCACGGGATTCCATGGGATAAAACCGTGGGATTCCATAGGATAAAACCACGGATTCCATAAGATAAAACCATGGGATTCCAAACGATAAACCCACGGGATTCCATAGGGTAAAACCACGGGATTCCATAAGATAAAACCATGGGATTCCATAGGATAAAACCACGGGATTCCATAGGATAAAACCGTGGGATTCCATAGGGTAAACCCATGGGATTCCATAGGGTAAAACCATGGGATTCCATAGGATAAAACCATGGATTCCATAGGATAAAACCACGGGATTCCATAGGATAAAACCACGGGATTCCATAGGATAAAACCATGGGATTCCATAGGATAAAACCACAGGATTCCATAGGATAAAACCACGGGATTCCATAGGATAAAACCGTGGGATTCCACAGGATAAAACCACGGGATTCCATAGGGTAAACCCATGGGATTCCATAGGATAAAACCATGGGATTCCATAGGATAAAACCATGGGATTCCATAAGATAAAACCATGGGATTCCATAGGATAAAACCGCAGGATTCCATAGGATAAACTCATGGGATTCCATAGGATGAACCCATGGGATTCCATAGGATAAAACCACGGGATTCCATTGGATAAAACCATGGGATTCCATAGGATAAAACCACGGGATTCCATAGGATAAACCCACGGGATTCCATTGGATAAAACCA